AACCGCCAGCCTTCTGGTTAGCAGTCAAGTGCCTTAGGCACTACGTTACCAGAGCTCCTTATTTCCTTAATACTTGTCTTCTTTCTTAGATTTTAACCTTCACCAAAACAACAGCTTTGTTTTCCTCACTACTATATTTCTAGGATCTAAAACACATACTGAGCCTGCAGGTCCTCAATAGATAGTTGTTGAGTGAAAGATTGAAAGAATGAGCAGTCTTTCATTTTATAGTAATATTGTATGCAATTATAAGATTCTTGAGAGCAGAAACCATATTTTATTTATATAGTAGGGGCTTAATAGATATTTTTGACACAATAATTTAAAGGCAATACTGGATAGGTTTGTATCCTTTGTTAATTCTGGACTTACAGGCACAGAGTAAGTGTTCAAAGGATATTTGTTGAATTCATGAATGACTAAAAGAATAAATGAAAATTTAAAAGTAGAACTTCGAAGGCAAACTATTGTGGATCTGCAAAACAATGAAAGTTAACACATGGCTAATTTAGTCATTTTGTTGGTAGAGAAATTAACTGGTTGTTATATTCACAGAATAATGAATTGTTTTGCAAATGGCCAAAACACTGTAATTTATATACTCAACACATAATCTAAGACTGTAGCTCTTATAAGCAGATGTTTTAACAAAATGTTCTTGATTGTATAAATGTGCTTTTTCAGTGGTCCTAACAACTTAGAGAGCAATATTCAGACATATTGAACAATTTAGGTGTATTAAGCTTAAGTGCCAGGAATAGACAAGGACATTTGCTACTGTTAGTTTCTTGAATGTTTTTTCTGTGTAATGGTCAGGATTAATTGTGCACTAGATTTTTTTTTAAGGTTACTGTTAACTTTTTAAAATTTAAAGTTTAGTTTTTGCTATTTCATTTTTACTTTTTTCAGTTTATTTTTGCTCCCCTCTCCTTGTGGGGGTAATGGGTGGAAAAATTTTGTGGAGTATACGGGTGAAATATAGGGAGTAATTATGTTATATCTACTGATTTCACTATTTTTACACTTTAAAAATGTATTTATATTTTTATAAATAATAATAGGTTTTCTAAAACTTAGATAAATATATATTTTGGAGAAAATAAACTTAGAAAGATTGCAGATGAGAACAGGATCCTGTGAGAAGAGAACTGGATTAGGCTTCAGAAGATCTTGGTTTTATATTGAGCATATGACATTGGCTATATCATTTAGGACAGTTATGGGAGAAAAACCTGGCAATCTACTTCCCTGAAAATTACAGCCAAAAGAACCCTATGGGGCAGTTCTTTTCAGTTACATGGGTTTTCTATGAGATGAAATAGATACAACAAGCATGCAACAACAAAATGTGTATTAGAGTGGAACGAAGCCTTTGAAATCATTCAAACCAGATTTTTCCTTTTATAAATGTAAAGCTGAAGCCCAAAGACATTGTGTGCAGAACAAAATATAAATTTGTGGTAGAACAAAGAGGAAAATGGAGCTTTCCTGATTCCTAAGCATTATATAAGGAGCCCTGATGACACATTGTTTAAGCATCAGTTGCTAAGCAAAAGGTTGGCAGTTTGAACCTATCCCATGGCCCAGCAGGGGAAAGACCAGAAAATTTACTTCCCCATGGAGTACAGCCAAGAAAACCCTGTGGGGCAGTTCTGCCCAGTCATGTGGGGTTGCTATGAGGTGGAATCAACTCAGTGGCACCCGACAATGACATGTGTGCATGCGTATATATGCAATTTATATGTGTAATTATTTACATATAAATATATGTATCTGTATTATGTAGTGTATATCACTATACTGCAGTCTTGTCTTTTTAAATAAATGCAAGCTCCCTGAAAGCAGATATTATAATATATGCTGTATGTAATATCAAAACATTAATCTTGGTGCTGGGCACACAGTAGATATTCCATATAATGTGTTAAATAGAATTCAGTGAAAGAGAGGATTCTTTACAACTGCACTGACTCCGTGCCGGGCTTTGGTCTTCTCCCTGAGCTGGAGAAGGGCAGGTTGAGTGAGTTCTGCTTCAGCTCCCAGCCAGGCTTTCAAAGTATCACAGAGTTGTCTGCACTGGAACAGCTGCTGCAAGGAGGATTTCATCACTTTCTGTTTTCTCGTGAGTATCACATGAAAGTACCAAGACCTGGGGTCTCCTGTGGGGCAGAGGGACACAGCTTCTTGGGAGGATCAAACGACTTAGGCTAATGACTTTCTTTTCTTTGGAAGGGAGAGAGGGCAAATGGAAGCTCTAGTGTGGAGGTGCTTGTTGCTAGGCAACGTCCAAACACAGACTTGGGCCAACTTGAACCTTCCCAGGGAATTGCCCTTTTCAACCCCATGTGTATTTCAGTGTGATAGAAAAGAGAGACATACATTAGTTTTAATATTGCTGCTAACAAGTTACTACACATGTAATGGTTTAAAATAACATAAATGTATTATTTTGCTGTAGCCTACCTAGAACTGCAAACCTTTCAGTTAGCAGACAAGCACTTAACCAGCCTAACACTTAACCATTTGTACCACCCAGTAATTTAATTTGGGAGCCAAAGGTCTAAAGATGAGTCTGTCAGGGCTCATACTAGGGCTGCCTCATAGGGTTTCCAAAGTTGTAATCTTTAGGGAAGAAGACTGCCATATGTATCTCCCCTGGAACAGCTGGTGGGCTCTAACCACAAGCCTTTCAGTTACCATTCAAGTGCTTTAACCACTGCAGCACCAGTTTCCTTTACATAATGTAATAGCTGCACAAAATGTGGATTTTAGGGAAAGAAGTAAAAGTGATTAAGTACCTGATTTCCTTCTATGTAGGATTATTATATCATTAACTATATGACTTATTTAAAAATATACTACAAATGATCATTTTAGTTTTATTTTACCTTTTTTCAAGGTTGCATGCTAAATATGTGACCTTGAATGGATTTCAAGGTAAAGGGATTTGCTGCTTCTCCTAGGAGCCAAACTCAGCCCTTCTCTGGAAGAAAGAAGCCACTAAAAGTATGTATGCTAACTTATTTTCCTCTTGCAGGATGAATCATTAGTCTTCTATTTCCTTTACTCCTTTTTTTATGACTACTTATACTCACATATATAGGATGTATAGTCCCAAGGTTTTAAGAAATGAACCACCAGAAACTGAAGATAATCAATACTTGAAGATTGAGTTGATTGCATTTTTAAAAAGTAAGCTTGTTTGAATTTTATTCTTATTATTTTTCAAAAGTATGTGTCTGCAGAAATTATAGAAGAAAGAAAAATAGTAGAAATAAGAAGAAAACATCAATATTTCCACCACTAGAATAAACCCTACTAACATTTTGGTAGATTTATGCATAACTGGTATACTGTTGTTCACTGAATATATAATTTTGTATCCTGCTTTTTTTCATGTACATAAAGCATAAATATTTTCTGTATTATTAAAATCCTATAAAATAAGTCTTATTTATAAGGATACAAAATAAATAAGTCAATGGTTATTATTTTAATTGTTCTCATGTGGACCTGTGATATGCAGATAATACAACATTGCTTGCTGAAAGCAAAGAGGACTTAAACATTTAATTGATGAAGATCAAAGACTATAGCCTTCAGTATGGATTACACTTCAACATAAAGAAAACAAAAGTCCTCACTACAGGACTAATACGTGACATCACAGTAAATGGAGAAGAGATTGATGTTGTCAAGGATTTCCCTTTACTTGGATCCACAATAAGTGCCCACAGAAGCAGCAAGAGAAACCAAGCAGTGTATTGCATTGGACAACTCTGCTGCAAAAGACCTCTTCAAATATGTCACTTTGAGATGTGCCTGACCCAAGTTATGGTACTTTCAATTGCCTCATTTGCATGCTACACAATGAATAAGGAAGAATGAAGAAGAATTGCTTCCTTTGAATTGTGATGGTAAAGAATATATTAAATATACCATAAACTGCCAGAAGAAAGAATAGATCTGTCTTGGAGGAAGTACACTCAGAATGCTCCTTCAAAAGCAAGGATGATGAGACTTTGTCTCACGTACCTTGGAAATGTTATCAGGAGAGACCAGTCCTTGGAGAAGGACATGAGGCTTGGTAAAGTAGAGAGTTTTGAAAAAGAAGAAGACTCTCAAGGGGATGGATTGACACAATGGCCTTAATAATGGGCTCCAACAGAGCAGTGATTATGAGAATGGCACAGTACAAGACAATATTTTGGTTATTTGTAAATAGAATCCCTGAGTTAGAAGTGACTTGAGGGCACCTAACAACAACCACAGTTGATATTCACTTTAAAATGTACACTATGATTAAAAATGGAAACTCAATGACTGGATTCTTTTGGGTTTATTTATTTTGTATTTCTAATGTACTTAGCACAATGCTAGGTACTAAGGACTCAACAATAAATGAGATGAAGCCTCTCTTCTCAAGAATAGGTTAAGATCTATAATCCCAACAAAATGTGGTCATATATTAAAATATATAGAAAATTTGAAGATTCAAAGAAGAGGGAGTAGTTAAATCTGGAGAATAGAGATGGTTTCAGTGAAGAATGATATCTATTAATTGGAAGAACAAACGGGATTTCGATAGGCAAAGAAGTAGAGATGACAACACGGGTAGAAATGATTTGATGCTTAAAAATGAAAAAGTATGAAACATACAATGGGTTCAAACGTATCAAAGGTCATGAAAACGGCAAGACAGTCAGCAGTTTTTCTGTTATACATTAGGTCTCCATGAGTTTGAGCTTGTGTGACCAAGCTACCAACTTGCTATTTTTATATTTAAAGCAAAATTAAAATATTTGGAGGATTAACATGCCATTTTGTTCTCAGAAGGAAGGCTGGGCAATCTACTTCCGTAGATACCACCTCGGAAACCCAAAGAGGGGTCGCTATGAGTTGGGTCCGACTCGAGGGCAATTAACAACAACAACAGTTAGTGTGAATCCTTTTATTATTAAGACTTTATCACTCTTCAACCATCATGATACCATTATTATGTATTGTTGATTAAATGCAAGTTTAAAGCTACTTTGTCTATGTATCCACAGCAGAATTGGGTAAATATTAAGTTTAGTTTAAAAATATATGTAAGTGTTGTTTATGTTCTGGATATTCTTAGTACATGAAATACGGAATGTCTATTGTTTATCAGAGACCACAATATATGTTTTAATAACATAGCACTTAATTCTTATAACAAACTTTTCTTGTAAATACTATTGTTAGACTGCCTTAAGACATACATGAACTGAGAGTCTTAGAGATTAAGTGACCTGCCAAAAGTCACACATCTAAGTAGTAGAGCCAGGATTTTGAATTCCAGTTCTAAGTAGCTTATAGTAAAAGATGAAAAAAGGCAGGGTACAAAAATGTTCAAATTTTTCTGTAAAGAGCCAGGTAGTAAATATTTTCAGCTCCATGGGCCATGCAGTTTCCATTGCATCTACACCATTCCGCTTTCATAGTGTGAACACAATCATGAACAAATTGTAAACAAATGAGTTTGGCTCTATTTCAGCAAAACTTTATTTACTTAAATAGGGCTGTGGGCCACTTTGCTGACTCCTGACCTCCAAAACAAAACAAAACTCATTGCCATCAAGTCGGTTCTGACTCAGCAACCCATCCTTGGGTTTTCAAGGTGGTATCTCTATGGAGGGAGCTCTGGCAGCAAAGTGCCTAAGGCATTTGACTGCTAACCAGAAGGCTGGCGGTTCAA